ATTCGTTGCAATAAAATCTACAAAGATTACACGGTACAATATGTAATATGTAAAACAAGTGATTTTTTTGGTAGATCAGCGAAAGTTTAATCTCTCAAAAGTATCCAGCTTTTATGGTAAATGCAACTATATACTATTAGCAAAAACTCTCAACATGTACATGTACAAAATATCATTTTTAACTCACTGATTATACAATTCTATACAATAAATCATAATATTAAACAAAACTATGGGAGAATGCACTCACTATTATATTAGACTTATTAATACTCCCAATATACAGCTACATAGCGACAGGAATACATACGTGTACATGTACAAGAAGAAGTAAAAGAGCATGCTCATCCTTTCCTATGACTGGCTTCAGGGACACATGTTACACTGACACAAGTAATCAAAACCACTACTGAAGGATTGGTACATGTACACATGTACACACACCACTAACAAATCCAAATACAGTCATAGAATTGACAACAAATACATAATAGTTGACATTTATGATTTTAGTCATGCTATTATACCGTATACGTTCAAATTTTCGAGGGTTCAAAATTTCGTGTTTTCAATGAAATGTGCTCAAAAGTTAATATTCGTGTGAGCTAATTTTCGTGTTCTGGCCATAATCTACATACAATAGAATGGCATTAGAGGTGGTTTAAATTTCGTGGATTTAAGGTGAGCACGAAAATAACGAAATTTAATACACCTCGAAAATTAAGACGCGTACGGTAGTATGATCAGCACACATTCAATATCATATGCTTTATTGCCAACATGTGAAGCTAATATGTACTTGTAATACACACGTATACATATACAGTGTACATAGTACATGTACATACGTAGAGAAGAACAGAATACACATGTAGTGTACATGTATCCAACCGGGTGAGCCAACATGGCTACAAATGATAGTAGGAATTCATTAGGAACAAGCGATGGACATTTAATATAGTAATATGTACATGTACACATGTAACACGTATAACATGTTTATGAATAATTATATATTAATATTATTATTGTATTGTCATATATGATCCTTACCTAGAAGATGTTCCAAAAGCAACCAACAAGGCTTGTAAACAACCTCTGACAAGTTTCAAAGGATTAGAGAAGGTGAGGACAGTATACAATAGGGGGAGGACAATACAGGAGTGAATGAGTAGGCCAGTAATGACACAGACCATGTAGAGACCGAGCTGCTCTACTAGGACTCTGAGACTGTCAACCTCAAGGAGCTTCCCTGCTATAATGGAGGCTATGCCAACCGGTGATGTCCTAGGGGAAGGAGAAAGGGTTTAATAGGATGACTTTATGGGAAATTATAGAAAGGATTAAGTGTAAGTATCAAGATTATGTGTGTGTGTGTGCATGCACAATGTATCAGTGTTAAAATATATGTACATGTATGATGTATGCAAGTAAAGAGAGAAAAAAAGAAGAGAGAGAGAGTGAAAGAGAAAGAAATGTAAGAGTAAAAAATACATACATATACATGTACATGTATACGACTATACGTTGAACTATTATGTCTAGTTTATTTTTAAATATTTAAACAAATCCTACGTGTAAATTTCTCATTAATTGTACTACAAGTACGTGTAGATTCAATAATCATTTTTAATTATAAATACAATCACAGGTTGCACTACAAATTCCATTTCATAGTAAGTTAGTGAGTACAACGACTGACCAGAATTAATGTGGCATAAATGA